AGACTTGCCCTGCGGGCGCTGGCAGGTCTGAAGAGAGTCGGAACTTCCGGCCTGGGCCTTGTTTCACCTTAAGATTCTACAGTGTGCCACACAAATTGTGGTATTGGGTTTACATGGGAACATTAACTAATTCAGACGCTCAGAAAGGGAAGAGCGTCTGACTCCGAGGCCCCGGAACGATCTGTCTGGTTGATATAGCCTTGGTCGGTAGATATGCACATGTGCTTTATGTAAAAGTGGCTTAATTTTGGTGCAAACAGGCACCCAACTTTCAGTGGAAATCATGCACTGGAATTTCAGCTCAAAATTGCTTGCTTCAAATTTTGGCGCATGAGGGGCTCACGGGCATCCGGCGTAGTGTATGGATGTTTTCCAGTCTGCTGAAAGGCAGAACTCAGACACATTTATCCAGCCCTTCAAATCCCATTTCCTGGTTGTGGTAACACCTACCTTTCCATGGGGGTTTGATTCATCTCTTGTCTACACAGTTTTCTTTCACTTATGTGCTGACAAGAAAAGGAAACTCACCAGAGCCCAGTTTCACCAAGTGCGGTAAACTCAATTTGGGGTAAACTACCAAACTACCCCACTACTTAAAGGAAAAGGGTCACCTTTAACATGGGGATTTAAACTGAGATAGCCATCTTGTAGCCCGTGTCCGAAAACCTATTTGCCTACCTCCTTACGGCCGATTTCGGCCTCCATTCGTAGTTATCGGCAATTTTAAAAGAAAATACGCCAGGAATGCGTTCTTATCCCAGGAATGCGTTCTTATCCGACAATATAGCCACCCGCGGCGAGGCTTTGGTTTTTTACCAATCAGCTCCAACCAGCTCAGCTTTAACCAATCAGCTTATCTGACACAATCCGACGAGTCTGTCTTCTGAACGCTGATTGGCTTGAGTGTGACGTCATCGCTATGCCATCATACAGTAGGTGCCGTAGAGAGTATCAACATAGTACCAATATGTTAAATAGTTTTAAATACTTTTTCGCGAATTGTGCACTTCTGGCACCAGTTTTAAAAAGAAAATGAAAAATAATAATGTCAAAATGAAAAACAACGATATCTTCATATTTCACGAAGGTGGCCCTTTTCCTTTAACTACAAAAACTACCCCAAAATTAAGTTTACCGCACTTGGTGAAACTGGGCTCAGTGGAGCTATTCAGCTTAATACACAGAGTATGTGTTGCATGGACTAAGCATGTGTTGACCCTTTTTTACTTTTAGGTTCCCGCTAAAAAAAGAAGTACAGAGAAAAGTGGATGAGGGTGTGTGGCATGACCAATGAGCCAAGACCACATGACCACTTAAACTTAACAAGAAGTGCGCACCATGATAAGCACAGTCAAAAACGTTTGCGTCTAAAGAACAGTGCTGTGCCGGATCAGAATGTAAGTTATTTTTTAAAAGTGATGAAAATGCCTGCAAAGTTATCAAAAGACTTTGAATATTGTTTTTGTAACACTTCACTCTAAAGTTATTCCTAGTACCAGACATTACAGCTTTAGTGCAGAGTCTTTATTTGTGATATTTTTAGCCAAAAATTATTACTAGTACCGAGCCCTTACAGCTTTACAGCCCTAGTACCTTGCCCTTATTTTCTATATTTTTTAGCCATTTCAACCTAACCGAATATCTGTATGTTTGTATGTTAGGTATTGTTTTGATCTGTATTTTATGCTACCTCCCTATAGGTAAGTTTTATTAAAACATGTGGTAACGGTGTGCTGATTTTTTACAGATTCCGTATACGCCTTGGGTTGCTGTCGCTGCTCGGTCACCCACAGATGAAAGTGATCAAGAAATGGACATCACTCAGGTAAGATTCAAGCGTCCTTTATTTTACACATAATACACAAGCAGTAGCACCCTAACCGCAACATATGGGAATGCATTGCCTGGTGGGTGCCTACTGCCTACCTGTATGCCAAGTTTCAGCTAAATCGCCCCAGTAATTACAGAGTTATTGAAATGGGAACAAATTCGGCACCTCTTCTTTTTGCATTTTGCACGTGCAGTGGGGGTCACTCACATAGATCAAGAGCATCCGACCTTTGGTTGAAGGGGTGCAGCTACCCTACAAAATTTACCGCAAGACCGCCCAAGCGGCTGCTGAGATGAGCCTCTCAAAATCACTTCTTTTGCAACTTTTGACAAATAACACCCTTGACTTTTCACGTGGCACGTGCCACGACGGTCCCTGTAATGTATCAAGAGTAGTCAATTACGGGGTAGAGGGAATAGTGCTAGCCAACAAAAAAAAAAAAGACCGCAGGCCAATCGGTCCAGCGCACAGTGGGGATTTTTCCGATCTAGCACGTATTTATTCGTAGGGGGCAAACCATAGGTAGAATTGTAGCCAGATTGTGCACAGATGTTGGCTGGTGTGTCCTGGTGAGAATTTTACCTGTAAATGTGCATAATCAACATATATAGGGGGTTCAATTGGACCCCCCGCTCAGCCGTTTGGCCCCTGATCAAGCTAGAGCTTCGCGGAAAAGTCAAGCGTGCTGCCTATGACGACATTAGGCCGAATATATCCAATTTCAAAGTCCAAGGTCATAAGCTGACTTTCCAAGTCAGTTTAATGACCTAACTAAAGTTGGGAAATCGAGACCTCTTGAATCTTCGCAAAGTTAGGGTGTTACGGGGTATTTTGGGGTGCTGATCACGAATGTCATGTTAGTTTTGATCACAGACGATGTCTTTATGCATTTAGGCCAGGTCGGGTCAGGTCATGTTAGATCAATTAGTAGGCGTCCTGCCGGCCATCCATAGAAGTGTCACCTACTACTGATAGCTTCGTAACATGGAACGAAGGCACTAGAACTACTTCGTAAATATTCAAATGGCTGCTAAAATCGAAATCAGCACCAAAGACTACCCTAGAAACAAGTAAAACTCGAAAAAGTGAACCAAGGTCATCAAAAGGTCAATGGCCTTGACTTGACCTTCACGTGACCTTGACACCCACCATTATGCATGGCACCAACATCATTTCACATATTTGAACGTTTAAAACCACAAAAAGACTGGAAACCGCGGATAATGTGAGCTGGCATACGCCGAATCGCGATTCCGGCCAAACATGGTCTCGAGAAATATGCCACAGGTCAAAGGTCAGTTGGGTCAGAGTCATGAAATTTTTAGGTTAGATGTAAAATTGATGATCTCGAGGGTACCGAAAGTTTCGGCGCGATCGGCCGCTTTTTGCGCGAGTAATTTGCGGAAAACCATTGGGTTTTATCCGACCCCTTCCCCCTCCCCCTCCCCACAAGTGCGATGGTTAATTAGGTTACGGTATGTATAATTTACGCTTGTCATCCTATTCCTAATGAATGTGTCTCAGAAAATATGCATCATATAAATCACGAAGTAAAATTATTCGCCTATGTCCGAAACATACCTATATCGTGCTGTTTGCCCTAGCGCTCCTCGAGTGGGGTGTTGTGAATATTCCGTGTTCAGGCAAGTTCCGGCAGCCAAACTAGGCGTTGTCTTGTGCAGAAGAAAGTGGCGAATTCGATAGGATATATTTCGGAGTGGAAAAGTGTGGAGGACATTGTTGATTTCCTACATTTATTTAGAATACCATTCCTTCAATATGGTGTCTGTAAGGGTTTTTTTTGTAAAGGGCATTTTTGTGACCTTAGTAAGGTTGTGGCATACTTTCTGTTTGCCATTCCATTCCTAATAAAGGTGCCTTTCAGACGATATGCAACTTTAAGACCTCGCAAGATTAAAACCAACAGGACAGGACAATGAAATTGAGCTATACTTTCGGGCCTTGCTGAGCCCATTGAGTAATCACGCATGAGTGTGAACTTTGGGCGCATTTTTCCTAGTTTTGCTGTGGACATACAGATAAAACAATGCCATATATGAAAAATTCAGACATTTCTTAGCCCTACTGACACAAAAAATAAACCAAAATCCAAAAAATATTTTTTGAATTAATAGGCGCTAGATCGGAAAAATCCCCACTGTGCAGCGGTTGCTGAGATATAAGCCTCTCAAAAGCGTTACAGGCCGGGCCGGGTCGGGCCGCTCATACTGAGCTTTTTCCGTGATATTGAAAAGACTTCGCTTCGCTCGCTCGCTCGTAATTAACAATTCATGGTTGACTATATGGATTAAGCTAAGTGATTGCGCTCTATTAGCACACTATCTAAGTAGCCCTTAATTGCTGCCGGTGCGTGGACTGTGAAAGTGAGCCGAGCTGTGACGCAAACCGTGCGCCTTTTTCAGGTGTGGGATCACTCGTGGAAGTTCACGGCGGATACGGAGCCGTGCATGCAGCTCTGGTTCGATCCTGCTCAGGGAAGCCCCAATGACGCCGTGGCGCGCATCTGGGCTGAGCGGGTGGTGGCGGCCGGTGCGCGGGCGCTGCCGCGTGGCTGGTGGCCGCGGCCCTGGCGGCAGCGGCCCGCTCCTGACCCGGTCGCCCTGTGCCGAGCACAGAGCGCCGACTGAGGTCAGTCTTGTGATCGAGCTTCCGCGCCGGAGGTGGAACAGGTGGAGCTGGCGGTCACCTGCGCGGGCTCGGCGGCCTGTAAGCCGTGCCGAGACGAACCGCGACACTCTTGCTAGATCTGCACCCCATTGTAATCTTCTGTAGTCGATATTCGGTAGGTACTCAATGCTCATTTTTCTGATATTAGACGAGTGGCGGGTTTTGATGTTACATTGGAGACTGCTGTCTCGGGTGGCCCGACAGTGTTCGATTGTGGTGTAATGTAGATACATAGACGGGATGCCGCGGCTCGGATTCGTAGCTGGACTACCATGTGCCTGTCGATTGAGATGCTTTGCCTGGCGATTGAGATGATTCGGGGCGCGGCCCCACACTGACGCCATGGTGCAATGAGTGATTGGCGACAACTAAGCAATTATGTACTTTTGTAGAACACATGTTTTCATGGATACGAGAGGCAGTCCTTTTTTCGCTAGCAGTCATTTGGTTCACGATACTTTCGATACCGACAAATATGTTCGGGCGGCCGGTCCGTCCACAGCTAATGCGTGCTTGCCCGCCGATGCCTAACGGAGCGCTGTGCTGTCTACGCTCACTGGTCGCTGGCCCGAGAGCCGTTCGGTTGCTGCTGTTAAAACAGTTCTCACAAAAACACGCTGGCTGGCTGCCAGTTCTTCACCAATGAGAGGCCCAGTAGCATCAGCAGGTAGCATTGTTTAATATTACTATTCCATTTTGTTTACCCATATGTCCGACCTAGAGCCGACTGGTAAAAAGCGGCAACCGAGCAGCCCTCCGCAGCGCTGCAGATCATGTACGCTCGATTATACACAATATATGTGTCTTTCTTGCACACAGAGACATGACGTTTTGTAGAGCTTTTATATCGCTTGTGGCTGAAAGGAATATTGTACATTTTAGAGCTTTCATATACGCGAGAAAATATGGTGCAAAAAAACATTTATGAAGCCTGTTGAATTTTAAAGGTTGTTGGGGCATTTCACAGACTGTGTCGGTGGGCAGGGCAGCCCGGCCCCGGCCGCCGCCGCCGCCGCCTCCTTCACTGGTATGTGGCAGGGACGGAAGCTTCGTATTGATATACCGGGGTGCAACTCAAGCAGCATATCACCTATCAAACAACCTTCGGTTATGAAGTGAATGAAAACTAAATATTATGTATAACTGTGATCTGCGCTGCGGTGTTTCCAAAGTGGAGGAAGTACGGGGAGCTGGACCCGGACTCGATGAGCCCTCTACTACGGATCTGGGTCTTCGCAGCTGATCGTCTGTGAATGAGAGATCATATGATACCAATGCATACCGAACGGATCAAAAACAGTGCCATTATATATTTGCAATTCTACAGCTTTACGTAAACCCATCCTATTGAATGCATTAATACGCGTTGATTTGACAACTGACATCCGGTTGAAGGCGTTTTTTTTCGGCCAACAGCCGGCCAGCAGTTGTTGCAGGCCGGCCTCGTTGGGAAGCAGGTTCATTTTCCGACAGCCACTGCGTGCGGAAGCACTCTCTGATGGCGCGGACGGCGTAACAGTAGGCCCGAGTGGTGGCAGAGTCGAGCGTCGCGGCGCGGCAGAGCGCGCGGCGCGGCCGCCGTCTGTTCCAGCTCGGCGTCGGCGCGCCCCTCGGCGAACAGCAGGTGCAGCTGACGGTCGGCCAGGCAGAAGCCGCTGATGCCAGGTGTGCTGACGTCGCCGGGCCGGCGCGGCGCGGCGCCCTCGGCCGCCGCCGGGCTGGGCGGCTCGTTGAGCTGCTGGATGAGCTGCAGCACGCCGCTGCGCTGCAGGCCGCGCTGCGAGACGACGGCCAGCAGGCGGCCGTAGGCGCAGCGCGCCGGCGCCGGCCGCGGCAGCAGGTCCAGCGGCACGGCCAGCGACACGGAGACGGACAGCTGCGCCGCCGACTGCAGCAGCTGCAGCGGCCCGAACGGCGGCGGACACGTGCCGCGCTCAATGTCGGCCGCCGGAGAGGCAGCCGGTCCGGCCGGCACCGCTGTCAGCGGCACCTCCACACTGAGCAGACGCACGCCGCGCGTCAGGGCAGAGACGTCCACCACCACCTGCCGCGCACACAGAGGGCCGACAGTGGTGACAGCGCGCGGCGGGTCAGACCTCACAGTGGGGATAGCGGCAGCGGGTCAGACACCCTTATAGAACAGCACGGGGCGGAGCCGACAAAAGAGGACGAGGAGACGGTCATACAGCCGACTGAGGTCCGGGCACCGACTGACTCAAAGTGAACATGTCACACATTTCTAAATGGCTTCTGTAGGACGGAATAGTGTCTCTTCCTTCCAAGGCTTACTTGCAGAATAATATGGAAAGACACAATTTTACAAGTTGTGTTTTTATGACATAAGTTCTTTATAACATTTCAACACGCAAACATCATACCTTGACAATTGTTCACGATGAAGATCATGCAGGAACATTTCATATTTAGTCACCCTTGATTATTTTGTTGATAGTGATGCGAAAGGCAAATTACCAAAGTATATATTTGCAATTATTTGAGTTAATAATTTCAACTTTTTTTGTGTTGAAAATTGACTTTTGAAACAATAAAGGCAAATGAATTATCAGTGTCTGGAAAGGTGCAATGCTGAAAGCTTCTTATTACATTCTAATTTATATCTAAAGCTTTGTGATATCCAAACTCTCAGAAATAACCAGGGACGTAACCAAGGAGGGGGGAGGGGCACGGGAGCCATGCCCTCGTGCCCCTTCCCCCCTCGGTGATGGCGATTTTTTTAAAAAATAAAAACAGCTGTGACACACCCCCAAAATAGTGGGCCTAATCAGAGAAATTTTCCTTTTTTGGAGGGGGGTACAACACTAGGCCACAACCTGTGACCCCCCCCCCTGAGCAAAATCCTGGCTACGTGCCTGGAAATAACAAAGCACATCCTATCCTTTGATGTTGGACGCAAGAGCCAAGTTGCTACGCGCCCTAACCCATAACAACAACAACATCCTATCCTTTGATGCCACTTACCAGCAGCTTTGCGCACTACCAAACAGCCACCTTTGGGCCTTTGTTGTTCTTGTTTTGGGCATTGTCAGTGGTAACTGGAAATAATCAGACATGATGGTCAGAGTAGGGAATGTGACTACAACAAAAATCATTTCATTCCTATAAAATAGACATGATTTAATAGAAGACCTTCTTCTTAAGAAAGTGTGTCATGGATACCAGCTAATCTGTATGGTATTTATCTCCAGTATTATCATATAGGCAGGGATGCGGAGCCGGAGCCGGAGCCGGAGCCGGAGCCGCCGGAGCCGGCATATTTTGCCCGGAGCCGGAGCCGGAGCCGGAGCCGTGAAACAATATAGCCCGGAGCCGGAGCCGGAGCCGGAGCCGTCAAAAAAGGGGGCGACTCCGGCTCCTTTTCTTAAGAGGAAACAATTATTTACCTTGTTCGGTTTGACAGTACAAGGCGTAAAACAATGTGGTATTCAAAAAAGCCTTGTTATACAAATGCAGAAGCAACGTGTACCAATCCCATCGCCTTTTTTCTTCCACCCGTATTTAAGATCGCATAGGGGATGTACTGAGTAGAAGCCGGAGCCGGAGCCACCGGAGCCGGAGCCGCCGGAGCCGGATCATTTTACTCGGAGCCGGAGCCGGAGCCGGAGCCGCCATGATATTTCACCCGGAGCCGGAGCCGGAGCCGGAGCCGCCATGATATTTCACCCGGAGCCGGAGCCGGAGCCGTCTGAAATTTCCACGGCTCCGCATCCCTGCATATAGGTATAACAATTATCACCACCCGCCACCATTGAATGTAGGTTTTAGGTTGTAGGTTGTAGGTGGTAGGTTGGGTATCGGTAAAGCTGGTGTCACCGTCAGCGCTAACCGGTAAATGTGTAGATAAAAGGAATCTTAAAAACAATCTAACCTAACCTAACCTTACCTACTGACCTGCAACCTACCTACCCACAACCTACCAAACTAATATACGCTGACAGTGATGCCAGCTTTACCAATGCCGTACGTTGTAGGTTGTAGGTAAGGCTAGGTCAGGTAAGATTATGTTTCATTATATATTTACTGAGAAGACGGCTGAATGCTCTTGAGACGTGGCTATACATTTACATTTTGTAAGTAATTTTCAGGTTTCAATGAATATTTCCTAGTGGAATGTTTTGAAAACCATTCTAAATGATGACCTTTAGCATTCCATAGTACTTTAAAGCTAATTAACCACATCGCCAATGCTAGGTCACATTGCATGCCTACTTCCACCGGCAGCTCCATGGGATATATGATAGGCAGGGGTAAATGGAATATTTTTTATTAATATTCTTGAAGAAAATTATAGGCATGAAAAGAAGATGATCTGCCTTTGAGATTGATATGTGATGCCTACTTTGGAGGAACATCATAATAATTACACAATCATAAAAAATGCAATGTAACCAAACAGCCGCTTATGCCGCAAAATGAGAATCAAGCCAATCACTGAGGACAAACAATTTCAAACCACCAAAACTATATTCTTGCTATTCACCAATAATCCTAAAATAGCGTTCCATGGCCATTATATCCATCTTTCACCCTTACCTTCGACAGATAACTAGCGCCACGGGCAGACACACGGGGCGACAAGTTGTTTACAACCGCTACAGTCCGACGAGTCTATCCTCCTCAAGGCTGATTGGCTTGAGTGTGACGTCATTGCTATGACATCATACAGTAGCTGCGGTAGAGAGTATAAACATAGTACCAATATGTTAAATAGTTTGAAATACTTTTTAGCGAATTATGCACTTCTGGCACCGGTTTTGAAAAGAAAATGGAAAATAATAATGTCAAAATAAAAACCAACGATATCTTCATATTTCAAGAAGGTGGCACTTTTCCTTTAAGTGCTAATGGTGTGATCTGTTTATAATCGCATGTTAGCATCCAAGTAAAATAATAAGTCCGGCAAGTCAAAGTGCATACTGGTAATCGCAATACATTGCCCTCTCTGAGCCCAATCGGAAAGAGGTGGTCCCACCAAGGCTGTGTCACGAGGGTATAAGGATGATGTGTGAGACGCTGAAGGCCGGGGCACGATACAGATTCAAAAGGTGTAGGGGCACATTTGGGGGCACATAGTCATTGTAACTCAAAGGAACGGTTGCACAGGTATTGAGCATGAATGAAAGGACGAAAACACCCTTTCCCCCAAAGTCGGAAGACGTTTCGCCACGGCCAACTCAATCAGTGCAAACGTTTCGTCTTGGTGATTCTATTAGAATATGAAATAATATTTTCGGAGTATCTTGAGTGATATATATTGAAAAATTGATAGCAAATATTTCGATACTCGTAGTGGTACCCTTTTCAATGCAATTTACATATATAAAAATCAAAATGTCTGTATGAAACGCGTCAGTCACGCTTTAAGGGCTATTGCTCCGGAACGGTGCGGGCTACGGGGGTGGAATTTTGGACTAAAGTCGGACGCGTGCATCTGTTTGTCGTATTAAATTTTGGTGGGGGTGCGCTTGCCGGTTTGCACGTGGCGGGCGCATCTTTGCGGAATTTTGGGCCGCGGCCGGCGCCGAGCAGACGGCACGCGCCCTAGGCTCAGATTGTTCGCTGCGAAAATGAGGGAAAACAGAGTCGGAGGTCGTTGACCTTTGGCAATGAATACCGGACCAGGGCACCGCCGGCCAAGAGGAGACGCCAAATTTATTCTGGCCATAACTCGGCCGCTCCTGGGCCGATTTTAATGAAAATTGATTTATTACGCTGCGCGTAATGCTGTCCCTCTAGTGCATATATAAAAATCAAAATGTCCGTATGTATGTATGTAACGCGTCAGTCACGCTTGGCGGGCTATTGCTCCGGAACGGTGCGGGCTACGGGGGTGGAATTTTGGGCGCAGGTCGGACGCGTGCATCTGTTTGTTGTATTAAATTTTGGAAGAGGTGCGCTCGGTGGCTGGCACGTGGCGGGCGCATCTTTGCGGGATTTTGGGCCGCGGCCGGCGCCGAGCAGACGGCACGCGCCTTAGGCTCAGTTTCTTCGCTGCAAAACTGGGTGAAATCAGAGCCGGAAGGTCACTGACCTTTGGCAATGAATACCGGAACAGAGCACCGCCGGCCAGGAGGAGACGCCAAATTTATTATGGCAATAACTCGGCCGTTACTGGGCCGATTTTAATGAAAATTGATTTATTACGCTGCGCGTAATGCTGTCCCACTCGCATTGAAAAAGGTACCACTACGAGTATCGAAATATTTGCTATCAATTTTTCAATATATATCACTCAAGATACTCCGAAAATATTATTTCATATTCATTATAACTTGAGGAAAAGGTAACATGACTCTTAAGTCATACGATTCTATTAGAATAATTCTTTTTTCTTTCAAGTTCACCATCATTGCGGAGATCAATGCTTCGTTTTCATACGGTCTAGCATAGATCACAGGTGGAAGTTGGCAAATTGGCTCTTCCGTCCCCTGTCATTACTCACAGTCTAAATAAAACGCCTCGGGAATTTATCGTGCTGCACTTTTTGCGCAATAGTGGAACACTGAACTAGCACGGTGCATTGGGTGGGTACACAAGAGCACACTGTCCATTGCACAGTAAACATCCGTTCAGTTGCGTGCGCCGGCTCGACAATATCCGCCACTGGCCGCCGGCGGCGGGGCAGATGCCCTGTAAAATTGTCAAGTCCGGTTTGTGGGTGTCGACGTCATTGGTGCAGCGTCCTTGAGGGCGGCGATGCCGCTATATAAGAGCGGCGTGCATACGAAGTCGAGGCATTTCCTTGTGTGTGTACCTTCGGCGAGGCATCATGCGAACACAGGTGAGCCGCGCGCCGTGACGGGCTGGCCGGTGCAAAGGTCACAGACAGGTCACAGACAGGTCACAAACAGGTCACAAACAGGGCACAGACAGGTCACAGACAGCTGACGGATAGGTCACAGACAGGTCATGGACAGGTCATGGACAGGTTATGGACAGGTCATGGACAGGTCATGGACAGGTCATGGACAGGTCACAAACAGGTCATGGACAGGTCACAGACAGGTCACAGATAGACCTGTATTTACAGGTCACAGATATGTAGGTCACGGTTTGACCAGTGAACGGTCTCCTGTCGTCATATGAGTGTCAAAGACAGATGACAGAAACGTTGTCTTAACGCTGCACCATTGTATCCCTCTACTCCCAGCCAATCTAGCCCTAGGTACTGGCTTCAGATTGAACATAAAGTGAATAAGAAGTATCTCACCCCATCAGTACAGGATTAACCCTATTAGTGGCAGGCTCCTGGCTACCCCATATTAGTGGCAGGGGGGGGGGGGCTGTTTACGACCCCCCTTGATATCTCGAGATCTAACCGGCCGATTTTCAAAATTCAAACGGCATTCGATTTGGCTCAACGAGATCTACATTTCTAAAAAAAATAAAATTAAAAAATGTCAATGGGGGGTAGAGGGGGGTAAAAACGGGCAAATTGCAGATACATTTTAGACTGTTTATCACGGCCAGGTTTCTGAACCAATCTTAACGCAACTTTTGCCGATCGATAGAGAATGAACCAGGAATTCACATGGATCCTAAAAATATGCATTTTCAAAAATCATAGGCGGATACAGATGATTGAGATTGGGGGTACACAAAAAGTATAGTAAATAAGGTTTTTGTTGGTACTGTTTCTAAAAAGGGTGGCAATGGTCTTGTTATGTTACAATTGTCTTATGAGAGAACGACTAAAATTGTATTGGTCATGCATAGGCGGTGTCAGGGCACCTATGTTGGGAGGTAAAAAATAACCCCCCTTTTTGGACGCCTGGATCCGCCTATTATAGCAAAAACGTGTCAAAAGAGGATGCACAATAACTTTGTATATGTTATCACATAATACCTTTCATTCACTGTTCATAAAACTGGTGCAGCATCGTGATCTTCGCCCAAATGACTCGCTTCACGAATAGGACCCCCCCAATTCCCAGTGCTCTGGAGCCGCCCCTGGTAAAGTTATGAACTTGAAATTTTCAGGGAATGTGCCCAATTTAGTTTTAGGAAAAGTCAGATAATTTCAGCATCGTAGCTTCAGCGGTTTCGGAGATATTCCCGAAAAACCTGAGGGGTGGATAAAAACAACCCCCCCTGCCACTAATAGGGTTAAAGCAAGCGTAATGCTATAAGACAGAGCTTAACAGATGAAAGCAATCATGAGATCAAAATGTTTATGGCAAACGTGCCTTGATCCTAAGCAAGCACTTTTGTGACCAAAATGACACAAACGATAGTACTTAGTAGAATAATGCCTTAGAAAGTGGGGTCTAGTGTAGTGCTAACAACTGAGCTGAAATATGCGCGACACTTCGTTGTGGGTTGAGTGGACATATTACTCTGCTGTCTATAAAGCTAGAATGTGTTTTAGAGCTGAGACGTTTTGTTTCGAAAAATTAGTACAAAGACATAACTGATTTAAAGCCACTTTGATTTTGTCCTTTCCAAAAGACATGTCCCTTCTTATTGATTTTGTCCCTTCTTATCAGTTACCCGTTAAAATGAGAATTCGATATATATTCCGATTCTGTAAGGCTACTGGCTAGCATGCGAATAATTATAAATGCTACATTACATATAGGCACCTAACTAAGTTGATAAATATGCTGTGCTCTATATCCTTTTATCTAGCATTACCGTGCGAATCTTTTTTGTTCCGTCGCTCAGCCTCGGCTGGTAGATCGTTTTACTGTATGCTAGACCGATTCAAATACGCTAGCAGGAAGGGAGTGGTGTAAATTGGCGTAACCAAACTGACTACAGTCAAAAATGTTACACCAATTGCATTCAGCCAACATTTTGCGATGTCCTCGTTTAAAAATCAGCTGTGAGATTCCATCTAGAAACTAATTTGTCGTTGGCATACAGTAAAATTACATACCAAACTCGACCGGTGATAAATTTTGAAGACCTCGGCATGGAATACACCTCAGTCCTCACTGATTTTTGAGCTGTGCCTCCGGCCTCGTTAAAAAATCCAGTAAGAAGGACCACGATCTTGAAAGTTATTGACACCGGCCTCGTTCAGTATGATAAATGACAGCCGGTGGGTTCAAGCCGCTCCGGCGCCCGACATATAAGCTCCTGACGGGGATGGTCTGCGGTTGGTGGGAGCAGCCGCAGCCACCCAGCTGAAGTCGGTTGAGTGGGACGGACCCTAACCGGCGTTGGTGGACTCGGTAAACTTGCAATTTTTCCTTTATCTCAATTCCTTAACCCGCGCCGGGCCGGTCCTCCTCGACTTCCGCGCCGGGCCGGGGGGGGGGCCGGGGGGTCTAAACACCGTCACCCCCCCCCCCCTTCTAACTCGGCTCCTGGGTCACGTAGCGACACGCAGTAAGCGGCACTCGAAAGAGTGTAAAAAATAATGACGGAAACACTTCAGTCATCTTTTGAGTCAGGTCAAAGCTCAGGTCGCCATAGGTCATGAAAGGTAAAATGTAGTTCATTTTAACAATTTTGGGAACTACCAACCGCTACCTCGGGAACAAATAGAGCTACAGCGCCGCGGAAAAAGCGCATTCGATAGCCCTTTTACAGACTTTTCTGGATAATGTTCTCTGATTTGACCTCAGGTCAACGGTTTAGCCTCCAGAGGGCAGAAGCTAAAAATAGCCGTTCCCACGAAAAAGGTTTTTCGGTAATAGCTTTTGATTCAAGCAAGCCATGACATTACTTCTGCCAGCATCAAGTTCCTCTCGTCAAGACGCGTCGAATGAACTATTCGTTGACCTTGAAAGGTCATTTTGAAATTTGACCTCAGGTCATGGTCATGACCTGGCCGGAAAGGGTCATGTTGCGTATCAGTCGACCCGTATCGTCGAGCTGCATACATATGACGTGTTTTCATCACCCTAGCACGTCTCTATCAAAAGTTATAGCAAAAAAACTGCTATTGACCGTTCATGACCTGAGATGACCTCCGGGGCACACAGAGGGGTCACAGGTGCATTTTTCCGATTCAGTATGTTATGTTAACCCTTGAAACGATGTTTGAGAGCGATTTGAACACCATTCGTTCACAAGAGGCGCATTTCAATTTTCTCCCACTACATATACCTATGTATAAAGGAGAGGGCGCAAAATTGACCTGACCTTAGGTCACCGATATCAAAATTCCGAGCAATACATTTTGTGCATACTAGTATTATTTTCGATTAAGACACCGAAATAAATTCGTGGTTAATTGGTCCAGGATAAAATCGATTAATAAACATGTCAATAGTTCTACAAACTGGCCACCTATCATTCTTTCATATTCATAAAAATACTTAAAGTAACCATCCCACATTAACATTAGTTTTGAGTTGAGATAGCCAAAATGGGGTCCCTGGCTTACATTTCATCAGTTTTAGCACTCACAAGATCGAGAAATGCCTCAAATCGAAACTATCTAAATTCAGAATTGCAGCATTTGGATTCAGAGGGGCTAATGCATTAGAATGCCCCCTCTGAATGTGTGACATCAGCGAAGATCTAACGATTTTAAAGCTTTTACAAAAACCATTGGTAGCACGCGGTGGTATATGCTGCTTTGCGAGCAACAAGCGCCGCACTTTCAAATAAAGTCGCTATGAACAGCGGAGATCCCAAAAAGCTAGCAAAAGTAAAAGTCTATTAGCTTGAAAAACGGTGAATATTTTTCGATGAACATTAGTAGATATTCGTTTTCGCTCTTTCTAAACCGAGCTACATCACTTTTATCCCAATCCATTAACTTTTGTGAAGGTGGGAGGGTCCCTTTAAGCTTGAGAACATTCTCGCACAGATCGGTGATAGCGGCAGCTTTGGGGTCAATGCTTCTGATTCAAGATCGAATGGTCAGAATCTGCTCATTTCTCTAGCAAACTAAACAAACTGGTCGGAAGAGCAGGATATGACACTGCCGTCATCTGGCCGTGTCTGCCGCCGCTGACCCCGCCTGGCTGACCCCGCCTCTGACCCCGCCTGGCTGACCCCGCCTCTGACCCCGCCTCTGACCCCGCCTCTGACCCCGCCTGGCTGACCCCGCCTCTGACCCCGCCTGGCTGACCCCGCCTCTGCTCGACAGGTGCTGGTCACCCTAGCGATAGTCGCCGCCGTGACCTGGGCGGCACCCGTCTACGAGGGCGTCGGTGAGCAGGTGTCCGAGTACCTGGCCAGCGGCGGCTCCCAGGGCGCCTCCTACGGCGCCGCGGCCGACTTCGCCGCCGCCTACCAGGCCGGGGCGGCGTCGGCCAGCGCCGCCGGCCCGCAGGGCGGCCTCGCTGCTGACGTCCAGTATGATGGCGAACCCGGTGGCGCTCAATACGACGGCGGAGCTGGTGGAGCTCAATACGACGGCGGAGCTGGTGGCGCTCAATACGACGGCGGAGCTGGTGGCACTCAATACGACGGCGGAGCTGGTGGCGCTCAATACGACGGCGGAGCTGGTGGCGCTCAATACGACGGCGGAGCTGCCGACGTCCAATACGACGGTGACGCCGCTGACGTTCAATATGACGGCGAGCAGGAGAGCGCCAATGAAATAGACGGCGCTGGCCAAGATGCTACTGGATATGGCGACGGTGAAGATGATGCTGCAAGTGGGGATGATAATGAAGACGGCAACGGAGATGATGAAGACAATGAGGAGGATTCCGGTGAAAACGATGGCGAAAGCGATGATGGAGATGACGACGGAGATGACGATGATGACCAAGGTGACAGCGGAGATGATGGAGATGATGATGACGGCGATGATGATGAAGATCAAGGTGATGATGAGGATGGAGATGATGAGGATGATGGAGATGATGAGGATGATGGAGATGACGAGGATGAGGATGAGGATGAGGATGAGGATGAGAATGAGAGTAACGATGAGGAGGACGGTGAGGATGAAGACGGAGATGATGAGGGCGGTGAGGATGATGAGGATGATGAGGAGGATGAAGATGAGGAGGATGAGGAGGGTGATGATAAGGATGGGGAAGATGATGAGGATGACAACGAAGATGATGAGGGTGACAACGAAGATAATGATGATGACGAAGAGGACGAGGAAGATGATGATGATGAGGAGGATGAGGATGATGATGATGGTGAGGATGGTGAGGATGATGGGGAAGACGGCGACAGCGACGACAGTGACGATGATGAAGATGAAGACGGTGATGAAGGCGATAAAGAAAACGAAATCCTTGACGAAGACGGCAGTGCCGCTGATGAAGAGAACAAGAGTGCTTTTGACGATGTTGACGCCGATGGAGAAGCCTATGGAAGGGATTATCCCTCTGCATCCTCTGGTGGCGCTGCCAGCGCCAATGGTGAAGACGATGAGGTATCTGGTGATGTAGATGCCAAGAACGGGGAAGACTACAAGGAATCAAGCGTTGAAGATGATGGTGAGGATGCTGAGGACGATGGTGATGAAGATGAAGATGAGGATGATGATGAGGATGAGGATGAGGATGATGAGGATCAGGAGGAGGATGATGAGGATGAAGATAAGGATAATGAGGATGACGAGGATGATGAGGATGATGAGGGTGATGAGGACGATGAGGATGGTGACGATGACGAAGATGATGAAGATGATGAGGGTGAGGATGATGAGGATGAGGATGAGGATGAGGATGAGGATGAGGATGAGGATGATGAGGATGAGGATGAGGATGATGAGGATGATGAGGATGATGAGGATGATGAGGATGAAGATGAGGATGAAGATGAGGATGATGAGGATGATGAGGATGAAGATGAGGATGATGAGGATGATGAGGATGAGGAGGAGGATGAGGAGGATGAGTATGATTCTGAGGATGGCGATGATGATGAAGATGAAGAAGAAGAAGATGATGATGATGATGATGATGATGATGATGATGATGATGACGAAGACGACGATGAAGATGAATATGATGAGGATGATGCTGACGGTGAAGATGTTGAGAACGATTCAGCTAATGAAGAGAATAATGACAAAGGGTCTTCTGATAGTGAGAGCGTCTATGACGAAGATCAGAGTGTAAATGGTGAGGGAAGTGATGGAAATAGTTATCAAAATGACAGTGACGGTGAGAGTGAGTACGATAAGGCTGCTGAGAGCGATGGAAACGAGAGTGGCAGCGACGAATACGGAGAGTATGAAAAGTCTGCCGCTGGAGATGATGGAGAGAATGAGGACGATGAAGAAGATCTGAATGACGACGACGGCGACGAGGACGATGGTGAGGATGAGGATGAGGATGAGGAAGAAGAAGAAGATGATGATGATGATGATGATGATGATGATGAAGATGATGACGATGACGATGATGACGATGATGATGCAGATAATGAGGATGATGATACTGATGAGGAGGAAGATGAGGATGATGATGCTGATGAGGATGATGATGAAGAAGATGATGATGAGGACGATGAGGATGATGAAGATGATGAGGATGATGATCAGGAGGATGAAGATGATGAAGATGAACATGAGGACGATGAGGATGATGAGGATGATGAGGATGATGAGGATGATGAGGATGATGAGGATGATGAGGATGATAATGATGACGATGATGAGGATGATGATGAGGATGATGATGAGGATGAGGATGAGGACGATGATGATGACGATGAGGATGACGATGAAGAGGATGATGACAATGAGGATAAGGATACCAATGAGGAAGGAGCAAGTGAACTGGAAGACAGCTATCAAGAAGATGAACAGAGCTATGGTGAGGCGAGCCTTGGGGATGCTGAAGCTGACAATGATGAAAGCAGCCAAAACGCGGATGGTGATGGACATATTTATGACAAAGATTATACTGAAGACAGCGGAGATTACAGGTATGATTATGTTGAAAATGGTGAGGACGTAGTTGAGGATGCTTCTGATTATAATGAAAATTATTATGAAAACGGAGACAATTATGATGAGATAAAGCAAAATGAGGATGATGGGGATGATGATGAGGATGAGGATGAGGATGAGGATGAGGATGATGATGATGATGATGATGATGATGATGATGATGATGATGATGATGATGATGATGATGATGATGATGATGATGATGATGAGGATGATGAGGATAAGGATGATGATGATGAAGATGATGACGGTGATGAGGATGAGGAAGATGATGATGATGATGATGATGATGATGATGAGGACGATGAAGATGATGAGGTTGAGGGTGATGATGATGAAGATGAGGATGATGAAGATGATGAGGTTGATGATGATGAGGATGATGATGAAGATGATGAGAATGAGGATGAGGATGTTGATGACGATGATGAGGATGATGAGGAGGAGAAGGACGATGAGGATGATGAGGATGATGCGGACGATGAAGATGATGAGGTTGAGGATGATGAGGATGATAAGGAAGGTGATGATGAGGATGATGAGGATGATGAGGGTGACAATGAAGATGAGGATGACAATGAAGATGATGAGGATGATGAAGATAATGAGGATGATGAGGATGATGATGATAATGAGGAGGATGGTAGTGATGACGATAATGAAGATGAGGAAGTGGATGATGATGAAGATGATGGTGGGGATGAGGATGTTGAGGAGGATGCTCAGGGCAACGATGATGATGACGATGATGAGTACGATGGTGAGGATGGCGACACGGAAAGCGATGACAACGGCGACGACAGCAGTGAGGGTGACGATGATGATGGAGAGGACGACGGTGAGGGTGATGATGATGACGGTGCTGATGACGGCAGTGAGGGTGATGACGACAGTGAGGGTGATGATGGCGGTGCTGATGACGACAATGATGGCGATGACGACGAGGGGGAAAATAGCGCCGCTGACGTCAGCAGTGAGGGCAGTGATGCAGCCTCCGCAGCGTATGGCGGTGACGGCGCTGACGCTGCCTATGAAGGCTATGGCGGCGAAGCTGCCTCCGGAGGTGCCGGCGGTGCCGCTGCCGCCGGGGGCGATGCCGAGATCGCCGATCAGACGGCCGACTACTCCGCGGATGTGGAACAGGCGGCGGCAGCAGACGGCGGCGCCGACTATCCCTACGGTGGAGCCGATTACACCTACGATGAAGGCTATGACGATTACTACGTTCGCTAAATTGTATTTTCAATTGCATTAGTTTATGTCTGACTTTGGGGCATAAATCCGACTGGTATGCGCCATGACGCAATGACCTGTGTTCAGTACTGTGCCGTGTAGTCTCAGTCCGAGCTCCGCCACGACGCCAGGAGCTGCGGCGCCTGGGAGGAGGCGGCGCAGGGCCGCTCCGCCCCGCCCCGCCCCGCTCCGCCGCGCTGCGGAGGCTGCTGGTACACCACCTCGCTGTGATCGCTCCGTCACCCTGCTGTTGTTGCCATAAGTGAGTGTGTGGTGTGTATGTATGTGCGCGCGCGCAGTGGCATGTCAGCTGGCTACGCACCCGCCAGCCTTACCGTGTGTCTCGTTGTTTGTGTATGCTTCGATACTCATGTTTGCTTCTTGTCTGTTTGTGCTGTGTTTTTGCACTTGGATTACGTGTAATGACAAATACATTTGAACTTTGAAGGCGTAGAATGATGACAAAAATAAAGTTACTATGCCTTCAATGAAATCGGTGTCTGCGAATGCTTGCTGCCAAAGAAGTGCAGTGGATTGAGACTTGAGAGCAAACAGCTCAATGGTCGCACGCCCTGACAACATTTGGCATGTATCGCCAGCATCGTGACTGGACACTGAGGGTTAGTATAGGTATGGGAATAAAAAGAAACGGGCTTAGAACGGGTGATCTACTGATGTCAATTTCGATTGCTCAAGGTACACACCATGATATCCCTAGCGCATCTGACATATATAAGGAATTTCGCGAGGAAAAAAAACACTGATCGAAGAGAGGATGTAAATGTTATCCGAAATTCAACCCACCCAGTACAGACGAACCGGTAACGCTTAACCCTCGCCGGCAAAGGGGGGGGGGGGGGGGTTAAGCGTTGATGCAACCCCCCTAAGGCTTTTCGCGAATAGCTCGCGTAAAAAGCGGCCTGATCGCGACGAAACTTTCAGTACCCTCGCATTCATCAATTTTACACCTAACCTGAAAATTTCATGACCCTGTCCCAAATGACCTTTGACCTGTGACCTCTTTTCCGAGACCATGTTCGGCCGGAATCGCGATTCAGCGTATGTCGGCTCGCATTAGCCTCGCGCTTGCAGGCTTTTCGTGGTTTCAAACGTTCAAACATGTGATTTGATGTTGCCCCCATACATTAGGGTGGGTGTCAAGGTCACCTGAAGGTCAGGTCAGGTCATTTACCTTTGGTGACCTCGGTTCACTTTTTCGAGTTTTACTTGTTTCTAGGCTAGTTTTTGGAGCTGAATTCGAATTTAGCAACCATTTGAACACTTACGGAGTAGTTTTGGTGCCTTCGTAACATGTTACGAAGCTGTCAGAGGCGGTTGACACGTATTACGAATTCCCGTCACGACCCCTACCGGTTGACCTGACCTGAACTGACCCGACCTGGTCTTAATGCTTAACCTTCGCCCCGGTGGGGAGGGGGGCATATGTTACCACCCTGTCGCGTTTTTGCGTGTGAATAAAAAACCGCAGCGCGTAGCGCCGCGCCCCTTGGGGTAGCTTTTGGTACATCAATTTTGGACAATGTGTGAAATTTCTGACCCCAGGTCATGTCAGGTCAGGTCACCTGGTCAAGTTAACTGACCAAGCCTAACAAAGTTTGCAATCATGTCCAGCCTGCAGTAATTGTAAGAAAGGTTTTAAACTTGGTGGATTGCATGCTGTTATAGGCGCCTACAATTTGTATATCTCGGATTTTTTATATCCGTGACCTAAGGTCAGGTCAGTGGCGTGACCTTTCCATTACAAGTAAATGGAGAAAAATGAAAATGCCTCTAGATCCGTGTGTACGCATAGGAACAGTCCAAATATTTCAGAATCACATTGATTTAGTCCACTCGTGATGACCAAGGTGTCATTTTTGCTGATAGCCTCTAGAAAGGTCATCTGAGGTCATTTGAGGCTGTAAACAGTTTTTTGCCAATAATTCGCGATTGGAAAGAGATAGAACGCTGGGGATGGTCTCATTGTGTTTGTCTTGTTGAGACGCATCGACTGATATGCAACATGACCTTTTCCGGTCAGGTCATGACCTTGACCTGAGGTCAAATTTTCAAGTTGACCTTTCAAGGACAAGTTATAGTTCATTCGACGCGTCTCGGCGAGGGGAACACGATTCTGGCAATAGAAATGTCGTGGCTTTTTGTAGTCGAAAGGTATTATCGAAAAACACTTCGTAAAAACAGCTATTTTCGGAGTTTTTGCCCTCTGGAGGCTACACCGTTGACCTGAGGTCAATATTGATAATGACCTTTTCAAAAGAAGAGTTCAAAAGCTATCGATTGCTCTTCCATGCGTTTTTCTAGCTACCATAGTTTCTGAGATAGCGGCATGTTTTCTGAAAAATATAATGACAATTGGCAAATTTTGACCTTTGATGACCTCTGGTGACCCCAATATTGCTCTAAGGTGAAAAATGACGGAAATACTTTCCAACGTACGCATTGAGAGCTATCGACTGCTTTTAACGCGTCTTTCTAGCCCTCTTAATTTTTGAGTTAGAGGTGGATGGTAACATATGCCCCCCCCCCCACCCCACTAGGGCGAAGTTGGCTGAGACCGCCACTGAGGCGCGGGTTAAAGACATCATTTCTGATCAAAACTAACACGATATTCGTGATCAGCACCCCGAAAAACCCAATAGCAGCCACACTTAACGACTTTCTATTAGGTCCCGATTTTCCCGATTTTCGGGTCATCGACCTGACCTGGAAGGTCACCCGATGACCTAGGACCTTAAACTTAGGTATCATCGGCTTCCTCTCGTGACGGGCAACACGCTCGTTTTTTCGCGAAGCTCTAGCTCGACAAGGAGCCAAACGCGAGGGGGTCGTACCCCCCCCCCCTTGTGCCGTCGAAGGACGCAAAATGGCCTGTGCCGGTGAGGGTTGAGACTGTTTAATAGGGGAGAGTGGGGAAAGACGCCCAGGGGTTTGTTATGTCATATATTATTCGAAAATGACCATCGGAAAGCAAAAACTTGTAGTTTCAACGGAAACCGACATCATTTTTCTCCATTAGATATCACTCTTTCGTGCTTGAAATATGATATTTTTGCGATTAAGCATTTTCTCGAAGAACTGAAAGGGGGCATCTTACCCCAAAGGGTGGGAAAGTCGCGACCTGGCGTTGGGTAAGATGCCCCCTGCACTGTAAGTGACATATATGAGCACGTGAATTGCTTGAACGAATAAGTAGTCCCTTCGAGCCTGCAGTAAACACTAAACGCCATCGTAAAGGCCCTCAAAAGTAGTCGTGAGGGGCTTCAGAGGTCATCGTTAGGGCCACCAGAGTCCAGCGCGACCAAGCAAGCCTCCGTGGTGGCATTCGGAGAACGTTGTGGGGCCCTTATAGGTCTTCATGAGTCTTGAGGGCCCTCAAGCCCATCGTGGGGACCTACGTGTAAGATGCCAGCGCGGCCCGTGGAGCCAGCGTGGAGCCCTCAAAGGATGTCGTGAGGAGCCTTGGAGTTAATAATGGGGCCCACAGAGGCCGTCTCGAGGGCTCTCAGAGTCAGATGCCGCCCAAAAAGTCGCTGTGTGGGCCGAGAGACCGGCATGGGGAGCAGCCGACCGTATTGGGCTCTCAATAGTCCCAGATCGGCTTTTGTCTCTCATCACAAGTATGTACTAAATGATTCGACGGGTTGCTTGAAGGAAGCGTACGGATTTAGGGGGCGTCTTTCCCCATCAGGGTAGGGGGCATCTTTCCCCAAGGTACCGAATTAACATTTAATCAGTACAATATGTTAGCCCTAAGACTACATCCTAAAACAAACTGGTTGGGACAAAGTACACACATATTAATGTATCACGACAATAGCAAGGGACATAAAAATTACTTACCTTCTTTGATATTTACAATGTTTTGACACCAAAATATTTTTTGAAAGCAGCAAAAAAAAAAACATGCAATCACCAGCCAACCGTTGTCTGACTGACATTGGCAAATTTTGGTGCAGTTAACAAGGCAGGCTTCCGCTTTACGCCAAGAACGTTAATTTCCAGGTTCGATTCTTTGTTTTGCCGCTCAGTAGAGGGGGTGGGGCGTCTTTCCCAACCTGGGCATCTTACCCCACTCTCCCCTATGGCAAAAAAACTACTTGTGGATGGCAGCCACCACGCGCTCGAGCGAGAGCTAGTGGGATACCTATCTATGGATACCTACTCACTTAAGTATCCATAGATAGTATCATATATGTAGGTATGTACTAGGCCATCTAATTTCTAAAGACTCACTACGCAAGCGTGAAGTGCGGCTGACACCGCGCGCTGCCTGCGCTATGCTGTAGTTGATGGTAGCTGCCGATAGATGTCAGGGTAGTCGCTCTGGCTCGATTGGTCAGCAGCGTGCTGCGCCATCTCGGATCTCCATTCTCAATTCTCAATCGCCGCCTGAAGAGGGACGCAGACCACATCAGGATCAGTGTTCGCGCAGACTGTGTCAGTACCCAGTCCACCAGCCTGCGGAGACCCCTCAAACAAGGCGCGACCTAACCAATTGACCAACTGAAATCCGAGATATAGGTTCCTACCTACCGAGATCCTACCTACCTCTATTAACCCTCGCCCCGTTGGGGGTTGGGCCAATTTGCCCCCCCGTGGTTTTTCCTGAATAGCAAGAAAACAGTGGCGCACAGCGCCGCCAAATTCCGGGCATCAATTTGACACCTTCACACCAAATTTCAAATCTGAGGTTAGCTTAGGTCAGGAGTTATTTGGGTCAAACTGAGGTCATGTTCGAGCAAAAATGAGCAAAAAACATGCAATCTTGAAACGCTCACCAAATCTACAGTTACCAAGTAATTTCAAAGTAGGTACTTTATATGGTCTAGTAGACAAAAAGCGGTGCTAGAAAACTGCTATCTCGGATTTTCAAAATTTTGTTTTTTGACCCCCAAAAATTCAAAAAAATATTTTTTTTTTAGAAAACTCAAGAATATAAAAAAACGAATTTCGAAAAAAACGGAATATATGTGATAGTCCCTGCGCTCTTCGATATGCATACCAAATTTCAGATCGAAATCTTTTTTTTTTGGCCAAGTTAAAGCGAAAAAACTGTTCAAAAATGATGACGTCAAATTTTTTAACTCATTTTTTTTTTTTAGCGATTCTAGACCACGTAGGGCAAAACAAAGACCACCATTGAACTCCCCGTGACAAGCTGCATCGAATCGATACCCAATTTATGCAAAAATATCAACTTTGAAATTTGACCTAATTTGACCTGACCTTGACCCGACCTGGACCTGACCTTCACCAGAACATATTCTTAACTGACCCCAAGGGCTGCCTGACCCACATAATCGTATTTGACATATAAAATGGACCATAATACATGCATCGCATGATATTTTCATATTGTGACCCTCAGTGACCTGACCTCTGTGACCTGACCTGGTATCAGTGACCTCAAATAGCAAAAAAATGCGTTTGAAGAGCATTTCCCCATCGATGTTTTTCAATGAAATGCATTTTACTCGATTTTACAACGCATTTCTTGTCTCTTGAAATGCCTGTAAATGGTGAAAGTTCGACATTTGACCTGACCTGTGACGTAATCAGTTTGACCTAGGTCAATAAAATTGGGTCACAAGGTATACCCTGATAGGGCTATCCAACACCGTTTGCTG